TTGGCAGGCCCTGGGTCCACCTGCAAGGCTGCCAATGACCAGCCAGCTGATCCTGGCAACTTGCTTGTGAGATCTGAGTTGGGGTTTTCTCCTCTGTAAACTCGGCCTGACCTGGTGGCACCTCCCTTGCAGGACTACTGCAGTTAGAGACAATGCATGAAAACAGCAGTCAAAGTGCCTGGAACAATTTAGGCACTCGGTAAATGCCAACTGCCATGTTCGCTAGGCTTTGGGCAGCTTGGGGCTCTCTATCCTTGAGTGCTCCTAACAACTGGAGTGTTCTAGGACCCAGAAACTCAATCCCTTTTCAGAGGCATCCTTGCACCTAAAACTGCAGCTTTCCCACTTGCTTTGTGGAACCTCCGCTGGGGTGGGGCCAGTTTGGGTTTCAGATTTACTCAGCAAGAGGCTTGCACCTGGATGTCTCATCTGGATGCCCCGCAAAGCTCAAAGAATTTTTGTAAATGGCACAGTGAATGTTTTCTTTTCCTCTCCACCTTCCAGAAGCCCCTTTCCCTGCTTCTCCCTCACCCCTGTCTTTCATTTCACAGCCACCGGAAGTCCCGCCCTTCTTCAGCCTTTATCTAACCAAAGGAAGTTTAACTCTTTGCAGTACTCTTGTAGTGTGTTAGGGAGACTGAACCTCCAGGCCACAAGAGAATAGGCCTGGTCCATTGATCGCGTACTCCTTGCGCTAGGGCAGGTCACCCATCACCCAATCTCTTGTTTCCTAATCCCCTGCAGAGCCTCCTGCCTGAGGCCTTCAGGATTCCAGCAGTCATCACTCTGACAGGGCAGCTGGAGGTATTCTCCCAGTCTTTCTCCTCTTATACTGCTGGTTCTCTGACTGAAATAAGCTTCTTGGCCCGTACTTGCAAAGAACCATTTTAGACCATTGGATGATAATTTGCCACCAGAGCCAGAGAAAGCATGGATTCACACAGGGTAGGGGAAGACATTACCTCTTCCCCCAAGCTAGCCGGAGGAGCATCCTGTTTAATGGGCAGTAATCACACTGACCTGGCAGAAATAATATGTGGCGTGCTTCTGGGACAGGCAGGTGCTCAACAAATCATTTTACTCTGCAGCTCTCCCACTTACTAGCTGACTGACCTGGGGCTCACTGACTGCTGTAAGCCCCCTTGGGTAAAAGGGCGGGTGCGGGGAGGAATGTAATCTGGCTTGGTCCCCAAAAGGATTGGATGCTGCGGCCAGGGTTACTCACATACCTTCCCCTGTCTTCACGTGGTGTTTCTTTTGAAGACAGAGACTTGAGAGTGCACTAGCAGGCAGAGACAGGCAGCAGGGTGGCCTAGAGGAAAGCACCCTGGGTTTGCAGGGAATGGACATAGGGTCTTGTCTAGGATCTCTCTCTTGCCACTTCTGTGGCTCTAGATGGGAAAGTCACCGAGAAACCCGGACCTCAGATTCCCACCTTGTTCACCTCTGGAGGTGATATTGATAAATAGGACTCCTCCCAGGGCAAAGAACAGGCCTTTTGATTTTCTGCAGCTCCAGTTTCTATCACACTGTCTGAATCCCAGAAGGCGCTCACCATTTTCGGGCTTGCTGAATGAATGTGGAGCTGCTGATGGGGTCATAGTTACTACTTTTGTTTGAAGCCTCCTTGGCCTGCAGGCTGAGGAGAGCGGGTCCCTGGGCCTTCTCCAGAAGGTCATTTGCTAGCCTACCCTGCACCTGGTGACGTTACTTTGCACACAGCTGGAAGCAGGGTAAACCTGGATGTCAAGAAGGAAGAAGGTAGCCTGACCACTCTTGTGTGTGTTATAGCTGCTAACCATGAGCCCCACAGGGCTAGGTTGGGCACTTGTCACTGGTGCTCTCCAGCAGGGGACCCAGTTCATGCAGTGCTTAGCTCTTGGAGAAAAGGTGGTAGGATTTGGGCCTGATTCTACATGACTTAGTATAGCATGGGCCTTCATGCCAGGTACCAATCCGGACTTACTCCATTGGCCGAAGGTGAGAGTGAAAATACTAATGTCCCCTTGCCCCCTTGGACACACACACTTTTAAACAATGTGTGCACCCTAACAAACCATAGTTCCTGAGAGAAGTGCAAGGTTACCTTTTGGAGATGCCACAGGTGGAGCCTTTTCTCTGGCTCATCCAGTATCTCAGAAGCTCTGCTTTTCTATAGCGTTTTCTCAAATTATTTCAGGGTTGTTATTATTATTAATCATTTTCATTGTCATTAGTTTAAAGTCACCCACCCTTTGAGGGTCTGTCCTGCGCACTTCTTCGCTTGCCTCGTTCCTTTTTCTCTACTTTCCCCTTCAAATAACCTTAATAGTTCAGTGAAGAATGTATTTCCAAATGTCCACACTGCCTTCAGTGTCTCCATTTTTACTCCCTCTCCTTCTTCTCTATTATTTCCAAACCTCAGATTGTCCCCTCACCAAGATTTTGTGACGGCCCCATCTTTTTTTATTTCCGAAGTACCCCATGACAACCTTTTCCCCTGCACCCACCCCTTCCCTCTGCCCTCCTCTTCTCAAGATGGTTTATGTGTATTTTCTACTTCCGTGGCAGGCACCCTGTGATGTCCCCTTCTTTTTGCCAGTGCTCCCTCCCCTATGCTGGGTGGAGTATCCAATCAAATATCTGATACATTATATTTTCATCATATATTCTGATCATATATTTCAGTCCCCCCAAACTGATTTAAGTGTCTCTTGAATTTTCACACATCCTGTAATGCTCCCTTCCCTGGCCCCCTCCCCAAGACAGGTCACATAATGTTTTCTACATTTTCATGGCACTTCAGTCGTTTTCTACATTTTCATGGCACTCTATCCCAGCATTTACTGCACCGCCAGTTTACCTATTTTTCTCTCCCACATAATCTAGAACATTCTTTGGACATGGAGGATGTGTACTAGGGAGTATTCCTAGAATCTACACTGGTGCCTCACATAACAGGTGGTCAGAAAATGCGCAAGATGTACTAGTCATTATGCTTTTATTTTTCTCTATGTTCTGCAGTAACCAAGGAAAATCATAGTAAATGTCAATCTCACACAACAGCAAACACAAAGCGTTTCAGAAACGTCATATATGAAGAAATCCTCCATCCTTCTTCAACCTTTTACTGGGTATTTCAACTTCAAAAGAACAGCTCATTCCTATAAGTGCTGTACAAGATTATAGAATATGATGGAACGACTTCATTTTAGAACGGTAGCAAAACTGTTATACTAAATGTCAATGACAGGAAACAAAGAAAAAAAATCTGTTCAATTATATTTTTAAACATATTGTTATTCTCAACAAACAGAATTTTAAAACGAATACAATTTTCCATTATCAAAAGCAAACACTCTATTTTGCAGTTAAACAACGATCACTGATCACAAGTATCAAATACAGTGTCCCCCGCCCCCAATCCACATCATTTTCAACTTAGGACCCTGGCCATCTACTCCTTGGGGTACCTGTGACTTTCTTTTCCACCCCCCAAGGGTCTGCCTCAGATCTACTTAGGGGGCGGAATAACCCCTAGCACCTGAATTGAGGATAGCCTCAACCTCTGCATCATCGTCTGAATCCCAGTCATAATTACAAGGCCAGTCTTTAGAGCATCGGTTACGAACCCTTGCCACAAAATGCATGACTTTCAGTTTGCTCGATTCCACGTGTGCTCGGGGACCCCAGAAGAACTCGTACTCCACCGGACTGCTACGGGGCACCGGCTTATAAATCAGGTAACCTCTGCGCACAAACTCTTCTGTGACGATCTTCTTCGGATCTCCAAAGATGCTGTGCTGGCGTCCAGGCTGCATTCCTAACTTCCCCAGCACTTTCCAGACCAGAGCTTCCTTGGCGCTGTTGCCCATGATGAAGATGAGCGCTAATATGGACATCAGGAGACTTTTCTTGGTGCCCTGAAAATTGCTCCGGGGCACCGAAGGCTTTTGTGCTTGGGCAGTGCTCGAGGCTTCTTCAGGGGTGGTAGAGGCCTCCTCTGGAGTGCTCGGGTCTTCCTCGGGGCCGCTCAGGTCGTCTTCCGGTGTGCTCGCTACCACGGAGGCGGCCATGGGGGTCTCGGAGGCCTCCGAGGCCTGGATTTTGCGATTGTTGCGGTTCTCTTCTGCGGCTCTCGCATTACGGCGGCGCCGACTCTTTCGTCCCCGAGGCATGTCTCCTGCTAGGGGCTCAAAGCTTACAGCAGTCCTAGGGAAGGATGCTTGTAGCCTCTTCAGGAAGCAACTGCTTTATACCGTAAGAAGCTGCTGCCGCTGGAGCTACCAACGTCAATAGTCTTTGTATCAATAAAGCCGTTCTCAGCTACAAAGCTAGTTCCCACGCCAGCTGACTTGCGCAAGCAACCGCCGCCAGCACTTGCCGCAGCTGCAAGCCCGCGAGAAAGCTCAGCAAAACCGGCCCCGCCTCTCCTGCCACGCACACTCCTAGCACCAAAGAGGAAGTAGGCTGGTCCTCCACAGGGACTTCCGCTAGCAGATAGGAAAAGGGGCAGGCAGCGACAGGGGTGGGACAAGGGCAGGAATGACAGCTAGAGATTGGTGGGGGCTGGAGTTTGCAGAAGAGAAAAAAAAATAGCTTAAAGTTTCTGTATTATCAGCCTAGTACAAACATTCCAAGATTGGCTTGGCAGTCTGGGGAAGGAGTGCGTCAGCTCCATTCCCACTGACGACAGGCGGTGTGTGTGTTGCAGGTTGGGAGGCCAGGGGTGGCGGGAGGGTGTATTCTTGGAAGGAGTCAGCTGTCTCCAGCCTTCCTTTCCTGTCTTGGCTTACACATCGCGTTCATTCACTCGCCCTGTTTTCAGAAGGCATTTATGTGTATACTAATGAATTCGTGGTCCCGTGTAGGACCCGGATAATATTGTTATGGCAGATGTGCTGGATGATGTGAGGAGATGGGACTGCAGAAACAAGCAGGGTGAAAGAGGTGCAGAGCCTTTAAAATGTGGTAGATATATGCACGATATATATACTGCTCTGCTTTTATACATATATACATACATACATACATACATATATCGTGCATATATCTACCACATTTTTATATACAGTGCATATATCTACCACACTTACATGTATGTAAGTATGTATGTATGAAAGCAGGGCAGTGACAGGATTAGAGGAATTGCATTTGTGCAGGCTTTCAGAAGAGCAAACTATTTCCTGGCAGACCACATAGGAAGCAATTGGAATAAGAAGCACTGGGAACTAAAGTATGCCTTGAGGCTGTTGCCATGGGGATGGAGAGGCAGAAAGACATTTTAAAGGTGACCATTGAAGGGCTTTGTAGACAGAATGGATGAAGTGGGGAATGGGGAGGGGGTGACGGGGTGCAGGTTGGCTCCAAGGTTTCTAGGCTCCCGTCTTCCTGGACACCTGATTTATTTTGCTTCTTTCAGAACATACTCTGAACTTTGTCCACTGCTTGCTTTTGCTCACTGTTTGCTCTGCCTGACCTGCCTTCTCAGCCTTCTCCAACTAGCTAAATTCCACCTGGCTGCTCACAGACCTGTTTCTCCCTGAAACTTGTCTTAATGTGCCCAAAAAGGTCGTGAGTCCATTTTTACTCCATTGAGGAAAGCCCTAAAACTAGCACTCTGTCTTTCTTATGTCATTCAAGGTATTAGTTTAAGCAAGTCACTTCTCTCTAAGCCTGTTTTTCCATCTGTAAAGTGGGGCTAAAGTACTGCCCTCATAGGGTTGTGAGAATTAAATATGATAAAAAATGAAAAGCATTTATTACATGGTAAGCACAGACTCTGCCTCTCAAGGTTTTCCAAGCGGTGTGTGAGTGTGGCATCTAATCAATGCATGCTGAAGGAATACATGATGGAAAAGATTTTATAGGTGTTCTTAACTGAACTCTTAAGAAACACATGAATACTTTATGCGTGTCTTGCTGAAATTTTCTTTATAATTAGAGCCTACTGAGTCCTCCTGTTGGGTAAGTTAGCAATAAATCAATTTGGTTCAGCAAAGAAAGCACCTCTCCAGGACATAGAGCACTCTTGAGCCAGCCCTCCATTTGGGATAATCTTTGCATTCGTTCTGGGTCATGGCTTACTCAAACCAGTAGTCTGGCTCTATCTGCTGTCCCACATTCTGAGAATTCTCGCAGTTTCTGGTCCACTGATAATTGCTCTAAATTGTTTTTTAGTGCAGGTATGGACTTATTTTACTGTTTCCAGGAATTTGGGTCTTGCATGGAAGTCTATAGCATGTACAATCCTACCCTATGAAACAAAAATGGGGGGATTACTTTTGCCGTTTATTTGCTTGTGTTTAGCATGAATTTTTTTTTTACTGCGAATTAATCTCAAACATAGGGCAAGAAGAGAGATTAATATTATAAACACCAATAGTTAGCTGCATAAAATTTAAATATTAGGCCCTACTTACTGTCTATCTTTTATATATTGGATATGGTAAAACACTCCTTTTACGTCTTCCATGACCCACTCTGCTCTCTCCTTCCCCACTGTGCTCCTCTATGATAAAGTCAGCAATTATTATGCCCATGGAAACTTGTATATATTTTCTACCTACTTGTGTGTCTGTATACAACATAGAATCTCTTCCTTTATTTAAAGCACATCATCATGCTGTATACATTGTTCGATATGTTGATTTTCCAGCTCAAGTTTATATTTTTTATGTTTACCCATGTAAATACATGGAACTCTAGTTCATTTATTTTAATTTTGTACATTTCATCATTTTCAATTTATCCTGTCCCTAATGATCCACGACTATGAAGTTCCCATTTTTCCAAAACAATATAATACTCTTATTAATATTTGTGTGCATGTTCCCTGTGAACATGTGCATGCATTTCTCTAGGATCAACATCAAAGAGTAGGGTTACTGGATGTGTTGGCATGTATTTGTTTAGATAGAACACATGGCTTTCTACTTTGTTTCACTTATAAAAATCAAAACATTCCATATTGAATTTCCAGGCAAACCTTTTTCCTAATTCATAATGAAATCTCCTCAATTTACACTTCTAATTCTTTCATTCTAGTGGCTGGATGATATTCCTTGCAATGGATTTACCATAATCTCTTCAATTTATTTAATTTTCTTTCATTATTATTATTATATTATTCTACAGTACATGTGCACAACGTGCACCTTTATTACATAGGTATACATGTGCCATGTTGGTTTGCTGCACCCATTAACTCATCATTTACATTGGGTATTTCTCCTAATGCTATCCCTCCCCCTACCCTCCACCCCATGACAGGCCCCAGGGTGTGATGTTCCCTGCCCTGCGTCCAAGTGTTCTCACTGTTCAATTCCCACCTATGAGGGAGAACATGCAGTGTTTGATTTTCTGTCCTTGTGACTGTTTGCTCAGAATTACGCAGAATGTCCTTGTGACTGTTTGCTCAGAATGGTTTCCAGCTTCATCCATGTCCCTGCAAAGGACATGAATGCATCCTTTTTTATGGCTGCATAGTATTTCATGGTGTATATGTGTCACATTTTCTTAACCCAGTCTATCATTGATGGATATTTGGGTTGGTTCCAGGTCTTTGCTATTGTGAATAGTGCTGCAATAACCATACATGTGCGTGTGTCTTTATAGTATCATGATTTATAATCCTTTGGGTATATACCCAGTAATGGGATAACTGGGTCAAATGGCATTTCTAGTTCTACATCCTTGAGGAATTGCCACACTGTCTTCCACAATGATTGGACTAATTTACACTTCCACCAACAGTGTAAAAGCGTTCTTATTTCTCTACATCCTCTCCAGCATCTATTGTTTCCTGACTATTAAATGATCGCCATTCTAACTGGTGTGAGATGGTATCTCATTGTGGTTTTGATTTGCATTTCTCTGATAACCAATGATGACGAGCATTTTTTCATGTGTCTGTTGGCTGCGTAAATGTCTTCTTTTGAGAAGTGTCTGTTCATATCCTTTGCCCACTTTTTGATGGGGTTGTTTGTTTTCTTGAAAATTTGTTTAAATTCTTTGTAGATTCTTGATAATAGCCCTTTGTCAGATGGGTAGATTGCAAAAAGTTTCTCCCATTCTGTAGGTTGCCTGTTCACTCTGATGGTAGTTCGTTTTGCTGTGCAGAAGATCTTTAGTTTAATTAGATCCCATTTGTCAATTTTGGCTTTTGTAGCCATTGCTTTTGGTGTTTTAGACATGAAGTCCTTGCCCATGCCTATGTACTGAATAGTATTACCTAGGTTATCTTCTAGGGTTTTTATGGTATTAGGTCTAACATTTAAGTCTCTAATCCACCTTGAATTAATTTTCGTATAAGGAGTAAGGAAAGGATCCAGTTTCAGCTTTCTATTTATGGCTAGCCAATTTTCCCAGCACCATTTATTAAATAGGGAATCCTTTCCGCATTTCTTGTTTTTGTCAGGTTTGTCAAAGATCAGATGGCTGTAGATGTGTGGTATTATTTCTGAGGGCTTTGTTCTGTTCCATTGGTCTATATCTCTGTTTTGGTACCAGTACCATGCTGTTTTGGTTACTGTAGCCTTATAACATAAAGTCAGGTAGCATGATGCCTCCAGCTTTGTTCTTTTTGCTTAGGATTGTCTTGGCAATGTGGTGTCTTTTTTGGTTCCATATGAACTTCAAAGTAGTGCTTTCCAATTCTGTGAAGAAAGTCATTGGTAGCTTGATGGGGATGGCATTGAATCTATAAATTACCTTAGGCAGTATGGCCATTTTCACGATATTGATTCTTCCTATCCATGAGCATGGAAACTTCTTCCATTTGTTTGTGTCCTCTTTTATTTCGTTGAGCAGTGGTTTATATTTCTCCTTGAAGAGGTTCTTCACATCCCTTATCAGTTGGATTCCTAGGTATTTTATTCTCCTTGTAGCAATTGTGAATGGGAGTTCATTCATGATTTGGCTTTCTGTCTGTTGTTGGTGTATAGAAATTCTTCTGATTTTTGCACATTGATATTGTTTCCTGAGACTTTGCTGAAATTGCTTATCAGCTTAAGGAGATTTTGGGCTGAGACGATGGGGTTTTCTAAATATACAATCATGTCATCTGCAAACAGGGACAATTTGACTTCCTCTTTTCCTTTATTGAATGCTCTTTATTTCTTTCTCTTGCCTGATTGCCCTGGCCAGAACTTCCAAAACTATGTTGAGTAGGAGTGGTGAGAGAGGGCATCCCTGTCTTGTGCCAGTTTTCAAAGAGAATGTTTCCAATTGCCCATTCAGTATGATATTGGCTGTGGGTTTGTCATAAATAGCTCTTATTATTTTGAGATATGTTCCATCAATACCTAGTTTATTGAGAGTTTTTAGCATGAAGGGCTGTTGAATTTTGTCAAAGGCCTTTTCTGCATCTGTTGAGATTATTATGTGGTTTTTGTCTTTGGTTCTGTTTATGTGATGGATTACATTTATTGATTTGTGTATGTTGAACCAGGCTTGCATCCCAGGGATGAAGCCAACTTGATCATGATGGATAAGCTTCTTGATGTGCTGCTGGATTCAGTTTGACAGTATTTTATTGAGGATTTTTTTTGCATCGATGTTCATCAGGGATATTGGTCTAAAATTCTCTTTTTTTGTTGTGTCCCTGCCAGGCTTTGGTATCAGGATGATGCTGGTCTCAAACATGAGTTAGGGAGGATTCCCTCCTTTTCTATTGATTGGAATAGTTTCAGAAGGAATGTTACCAGCTCCTCTTTGTACTTCCGGTAGAATTCAGCTGTGAATCCATCTGGTCCTGGACTTTTTTGGTTGGAAAGCTATTAATTATTGCCTTAGTTTCAGCAATAATATCAGTTATTGATATACTCAGAGATTCAACTTCTTCCTGGTTTAGCCTCGGGAGGATATATGTGTCCAGGAATTCATCAATTTCTTCTAGATTTTCTACTTTATTTGCATAGAGGTGTTTACAGTATTCTATGATGGTACTTTGTATTTCTGTGGGATCAGTGGTGATATCCCCTTTATTATTTTTTATTGTGTCTATTTGATTCTTCTTTCTTTTCTTCATTACTCTTGCAAGCAGTCTATCAATTTTGTTGATCTTTTCAAAAAACCAGTTACTGGATTCATTGATTTATTGAAGGGTTTTTTGTGTCTCTGTCTCCTTCAG